GCTCTGAAAATGTAGGAGAAAAATGTTATTACCGGTTTTCGATAAGGTTTTATAATTGATAACCTGATAACTTATCGATTTTTTGAGATACACTCGATATGCGCGATATACATACTGGTATATACAACAAAATTTCAAGTCTCCAGTTCTTATATCTTCTGAGATCGGCGCGTTCACACATACGGACGGATAGACGGACAGGGCTAAGTCGACTCAGCTCGTCGCCCTGATCAAGAATATACATACTTTGTGGGGTCTTCCACGCCTCTTTCTGCCTATAATATACATTTTAATAAAAACATTATAATTTGATTTCCCATTTTCAATGGGTTCAGGGTATAATGAGGTATGCAAAAAAGGGGACATTGAGTCAGTTGACGGCGAAACAAGCAAGTAAAGTATAAGCCAGAAAAAGGAAAGGAACAAGTGTAACAGACTAGAAGATACCCTGTGCTGAGTATAAGTGATTCGATAATGGACCAAATAATTTATTGACTGATTGATTTTGCGAAACAGTTCTGCGAATTCCGCGAAACACAAGCGTAACATAACACAAGCGTGACATAACGATTGCATTCTTGTATATATTTATATCAATCATATATTATATTTGTATACAGAGTGGCTGAGAGTAATATATATTTTTATCAGTTCGAGCTTAAAGATATTCAATTTGCACTTTCAACTCTTCGCTCGAATACGTGTCCGAGGCAAGCGCCTGACCTTTCCATTCAAATACGGCCATATATAACAATTTGATGTGAATGAGAATGGGAAATACGAAAAAAGCTCGCAGTTAACGGTATACGTAAAGATCTAGTTTTTTGGAAGAGTGACTTACATGCCTGTGTATGTATGCATATGTGTGTATGTATTTCGATGCATAAGCTCGCACTCAACTCCCATTGGCAATCTTTCTGATTAGTATGCACACACACATATACGTGCACACTCACATGAATGGAACAAAAGTCTAACACACACACACACACACACACACACATATATATATATATATATATGTATATATAGGCAGTCACAGAGACTAAATTGCGCAATTGTATTTGACTGCAAATTTTTGTACCTCTGACCGCGATCAGTGATCGCTTTATTGGGTGAAGGTCATGTTGAGCTACTTCGTTGCGTTTTTGTATTTTGTTTAGTTTTGCTGTTTGTTTTTGTTTCAATTTTATTCTCTCTGTTCTGTTTCATTTGCCGGCATATTGTTGCGGCTTTTGTTGCTTTTATTCTCGGCTACTTTTAGTGCTCACTGCTTTGACAACATGAGCCCCAGGGATGCCGTTTGCCATTTTGATGCGGAGCGATTATAGATATAGTAGAGATCCCATTGTTTATCGCTAGATACATCATACATATATAATTGCAGTCAAAAGACTGAATTCGGGTACATATTGATTGAAATCTATATTAGTATAGATGCATTCATTACATATAAAAAGTCATGTTCCGAAATAAAAAACAAATCAGTTTCTCAACTTCGATTGAGGCTGATACACATTCATATGTATGTATATTCAAATGCAGATACAGATACAGCCATTGATTCAGAATTAGGTAAAAGAGTTTCAGGTGCAGCCCGAGATACTGCATTGTATTCGATGACCATTCATACCCAGTTTGAGGTATAGATGATAGATAGAGATACATTTTTATGCAAGGATTTTGGGTACAGATACATTTTCTAATTCGCATTGAGACAAATGATGACATGCATCTACAATAGCAGCAGACGTCGATAGAGATACAGATGCAAACTTATATGAAGTTTGATATACGTGTATAGTTTGAGAGTCGAATCACTTTCATATTCAGATATATGTATATATACATACATATATAAGTAACTGTGACACGTTCACACACAGTCACCGTGACTGGCTCAGCGCTGAAGCGTTGCAGTCATTTATTTGATTTAGCTTCGCTTTGTCTCATTTGTTATTTGACTCGTTTTGGTTTTATGGAATTGCTGTCTGGTTTTTATTTAATTTCATTTCATTTCACTTAATTCCTTGCGTGAATATCATTTTAAAATTCATAAATTTTAACGCCTCTGCCATGAACGAGGTTCGTCGCTTTGTGCAGATATTTATGGCTATCACTCTTAAATATACATTTTTGTTTAATTCATGGCTTAAATTTGATTTCCAGTTGGCTGAGTGGATCACAGTACTGAAGATTTTGTCTAGTTTTCGACCTTGACCACGAATCAAGTTAGCACACACACACACCCACACACACACACACAGACATGCATTCATATTCACACACAAAATATTATAGGTAATGCAAAAGTACAAAATATATTATACGAAATGTTGAAAGCAGCTTGTTCCGAATTGTTTTTTCCATTTTTGGCCGAGTAAAGCCGAAAGTACAAAATTAACTATATATGATAACAAATTTTAGGTAAATACATACAGGAATAAGTAGGCATGTGGCACAGGAATTTCAATATACGAAATACAAACAAATATTAATGAAAAGTTATACATATTTGTCTATAACTTAAATATGTATATATGAATAAAAATACGGTTCTTTTGTAAACTTTTAGAAAAACAAAACTAAATACAATATATACATCTATATATACCAAAAAATATATTACCAATCCAGAAAATAAAATATTTAACCATGCTTTAACAAACCTTCAAGTATAACTATAAATAAAGTATATATGTTTATAAAGAGTATATACATACACATCTCATTAGGTACACAAATCTTACCACATTATATAAAAATCAACAAGTGTACAATTATGACATCTATATACATATACATTAATTGATACATTTTATATTTAATAGCAACTAACAAATTGTAGGCGGCCTTTTCTGCCATCATCTGGAAAGATACACTGTATTATATGTATACATATATCCCATGGAATTGTTGCCGGACTTGCAATGTTTTGCTTAGAGGGCTTAATGTATAATTCCAAGATAAGAGAAGAGCAGAAAAGTTAATTAAATAAAATAAAAGTAAAGCCAAACGCAAACAAATGTGTTTTTATTACTAGTGCAGTGGAAGTACTTTTGTATGCCCCATATTCAGCTCTTTCAATGCACGAGATATGCTCTAATAACTGATATTTGGCATCTCGTCAAATCAAAAACCCTAATAATCAACATCCACTCAGAAACTCCACTACTTCACTAGGTCATCCCCAAGCTTTGCTCGACTATTTGTAAATGGAATTACAGCAGAGTTTCGAATTGAGTGGAGTTCGTTGGATTGCCTAATCTTTCCTCAGTATTGCTGTCGTCAGCCTGTTATTGATTCACCTTCACAGCCATTTTCACAATACATTTCCTGTAGTTGAAGTCTCTGCGGAGTCTCCAGAAAATGCGAAGAGTTTTGCGGCCGTCATTTACCCTAAGAGAATTGCAAAGAGAGGGCGAGTCACAAAATCTTGCATTGACTCTGATGCGAAAACGCATTCGGCGTTTCACTTTCGTTTTAATTCCCAATTCGACGGATGGATTAACGAAGAAACGGACTAGAGACGGATGGCTGGATAGTCGGCCGGATGGACAGAGACGAGTGTTTTGTTTCCTTCATCTGCAGCCATCGGCTGCATAATATTTACTTGTTCACCGTCCTTCCACAGTTCTAGTGCATATAGATATAGATCATTCATTATGATTTAATTTAACTTATCAAATATTTTTCGGAGTAATAGAGTCATGGAGCCGATATCACCTAGTTTAGGTGGATTACTCTAGGTCTCTTTCAAATATGCCTATAATTGGATGGTCTCCGATTAAGGTGTGGCAGTACCCTGCAACTTGAGCAAAGCTCTCAATTGTTATTAATCATATAGATAGAGCTGAATCTATCGATCTTATCTCAGTCAAATTGCTTATCTCAGCTGAAACAGAAGCAGAAGGCAACTTCGGCTTCAGAAGGCACTTGAGTAGCCAGCTGTATACTTTGGTTGCAACGTCGTCGACTGCTCCGCATTTTGAGGCTATCTGCGTCTGTCACATAACTGGCCCAGCGGCTTTTTGCTCTTCTTTTTTGTTTTTTTTTTTTTTTTTTACCCCTCATGTTAAGCGTTCAGGTTGTGTTTCAATTTTCTGTTTCTTGTTTTTTGTTTATTATTTTCTTTTTATTTTTAATTGAGTATAGATTTCGGTGCCTGCAGCTTGCAGCTTGAGCAGAACAGGTGCAATTCCTCAAATCGCCAGAGTCAGGCAATGAGAAACGAAAGCTTTCAGCGACTTTCGTATCCTCTGGAAACTAAAATGAAGGAGATGGATATGAAGTAGGTAAATAACATATGTACAATATAATACATTTACAATAATTTTATATACATATAATATACTCGTTATATCTATGTTCCTTTATAGCAAGAGTTTTCATTTCTAACTTCATTTTGAGCTATGATGATCTTACCATCTGAAGTATTTATTTATTGGAAACTAAAGCGAATTTAGTTAAAGTTAATGATAATTTTTATTCAAAAGCTAATAAATATATCGATAAATTCTGGATAGAGAATAAGACTCGTTATTAGAAAACTGATCCTCGACGAGCTAAACTGAGCCTGTTCAGTGATCAGTAAATAGAATAATATGAAATAAGCTACTCTAACGGACAAGGCATACGATAAAGCTAAAGTGCCTCGATTATATACAGATCTGTATACAAACATGCTACTTAAGTGAGGGTAGGGCGAAGGTTTGGTTCGGCTTGGTTAGGCTTTCGCAAGGTGTTTGCTAGGCACGGGCCCCAGCTGTAGCTATACTTTAAACTGAAGCTGTACCTGCCACACGGGTACTGATTAAGGTCTGAACGATGGTGCCAACCAGCAAGTCAGTCCGTCAGTCCGTCAGTCAGTCAGTCGCGCAGTCAGTGTGCGTGCCGGTTAATTGAGCTTAATGCAGCAGGCAGGCAGCCGGCCAGGCGGTCAGTTGAGGCAGCTGTGGGGAGGAAACTCAGTTTTTGATACAATTAGGAAGTGCTCCACCTTTTTAATGATAACCATTCAATTTAATGAGACCCAAAAGGTGCTACAGCTTGTATCTTGTAATGAGCTGCCACTTGGGGTTCGCGATGCGTTTTGGAGTTAAGTTGTTCTCAATCTGGCATGGCCTAAAGGAAGAGTGATATCAAGTCTGGCCCTAATACACTTAGGGTTTCCACCATATTGTATTTAATCGCATTCTCAAACACCGTCTTGATGCAGTTGACCAGGGCCAGGGTGCAGAGCAATAAAAGCATGGACAAAATAGAGCTCAAATTCAGTGTCAATCGCCCTGTTAGCACCTCTAACACCCAAAAGAAGAAGTCCAGACCCAGCATGATGGTATTCAATATTAGCCATGGCATTATGAAATTGGGTTTAGTCTAAATAGAATTAAGTACGAATTAGTATCTGTACCTGTATCTGTATCTGTATCTGTATCTGTATCTGTATCTGTATCTGTATCTGTATCTGTATCTGTATCTGTATCTGTATCTGTATC